CCCCCCCCCCCCCCCGCCGAAGTAGCACCCCAACAGATAAATGTTTACCACGTTATCACTGGGGCACCTCGGGATGTCATCTTGAACGGAATACGGTACAAAGCGATACTGCTGAAGATATACAGCGATCCTTTAGTAGTAGCCTACATATTTACCAGGTAGTCGGGGGTACCCGCTGAGTCCGCCTCTTGCGTGCAAAAAAAATCATGAGCTATGTGCCTGTTACCGCCAGAGGTGCGGCTGACAAATGAGCAGGAGCTCACCTGACACCACCTTCCAAGTGCGGGGTACGAACTGCCGGCGAGCGGGGCTTGTCTTGCAAGAGCGCCCCGCGATTTTTCAAACAGAAGGGTCGCAGACTTGCGGTAGCTAATGTGCGCTACCATCGGTAATAACGTATTTGCGGGCCTGACGCCGCCGGATCTTGATCCCATCACCTCTCCCAGCGGGTAGTTGAGTAGGAATGGTCGAGGTAAGTACCGGGTTCTGTACATAACCTCACGACGGAGAGACTACCCATTCCAGGCAATCCTCCGAGGTCATGTAGCGCAGCATGACGGCTGGTGACACATCTGTTCAGTCCTAGAGGTGACCCCAAAGCTGGAGCAACCGCAGTTCGCTGTGCAACACAAGAAACAAAAATAAGCACAGCCTATCCACAGCCAAACCGGAGCAACAAGATGGGTTGCACCTAGGTATCGCGAGGGACCTTGCGGGTGGGCAGGAGCAGAGCGTCCCCGCAATCACCGGAGCTGCTTCTACGGCTTGCTACGAGGAACACGATCTTCAGGGGGAGAGAGAGCTACTGCTGTAAGGGAGAACAACTTGTAGCGGTTCGCTCTCTCTCTCTAGGTAAAACTCACCGATTTGAAGTCGCGAGATGCGGCCAACGGCACCGAGCAGCAGCGCCCGCCGCCGGCTTGTTGAGGCCCCGACCGAGGGGCGACTACAGAAGTCGTTGCCTTTTGGACGGGATTGTGGGACGCTGGAGCGTACTTGTCCATGGCTGGATGGCTTCGCACTGTTAGAGGGACTGAACAGCGCTGCGCAGGGCAGCATCAGGGAAGAAAAAGCACTGCGTAGGACGTTGATTGGTGGCAAGTGCGGAGGTTTCACCAATAAATTTTCAGCAGGTATGCATACACTGGTGAATTCGTCACGTACGTGCGTACCTGCAGACACCGCCGTTTTGAGAAGTGAGGGCCATATTCCACGGGCACGCGCATGGGTTTCCCAAGCTATGTTTATGTTTTGCGTGCAGTTTAGGACGCACTACTGAGGCATGTGTGTTTACATGTTTACCGAAAGTTGTTGTGCGCAGAGACTAGTCTAAACTGCTGTGCTGCTCCAAGCTGCCCTGCTACAGACTTTGCCTATGCATTAAATTGTACCTAGTAACTATTCTTTTCAAGTCTAGTCAAGGTCTACAGTAGTAGAGTAGAGGCGGGTATTCAAGGCCACTTAAGCCACCCCCTGCGCTAAGAGCTTGTTCTTGAGCAGGAAATCGAATTTCGATGATATTGTGGTATCGAGCAATAGGTAAGACCACTCCCCGCCTACCTGAAGGAAATGAAAAAAAAAATCAACAGTGACGAGGTAGGGCTGGAGCCGTACACCTGAGCTGCAGGCGTCATTTTGAGAGAAAACTACCCCTAGCTAGGGGTATCAAAGGCCACTTTCATCATTGGTTGATTTCGTACGTTTGAAAGCGTTTCAAGACCCAAGATTTGGTGGGCATGCGTAAAATACAATAGAAATGAAGAAAAAGTAAGAAAAAACAAAAATAATCCACATCCGGGGATGAAAATGACGTATCCTCGGGTTTTCGACGCCATGAGAAGGGATGGGTTTTTCCCTCCGTGACCTGTATTGTGTGCTCTGTGCGTTCGAAACGAGGCAGGACAACCAATTTGATGCGTAAATGTGTTATTCCAGTCAGTAGACGACTCGAGAAAAAAAAATCACGGCGAAATGAGTTGTCTACGTAAATGGTGCTTGGTCAATATTGGGTACTTTTTCCTGATTTAGCATGCCGCTAACGGTAACAGTTCACGCCGAACACCGCCAAACTGTATCCACCATTGAGGAATACTCATTCATCCCCACGACACAACCTTTGGAGGGGATCGTCAAACATGAGTGAGAAACATGTTCAGAAAAAAAAAAAAAGCCACCCCAGGGACAGAACCACCGCGTCCCCGGGTTTTCGGTTTAAACCCGTGCATCCCTCCCCCCCCCGGTCCTGGAACGCCCGAACGTCACCATCAAAAAGGGTACGAACCACACGACGTTCTACAGGGTATGTTTCGACTGTACGAACAATTCCACGCCCATTGGAGCACACCTGATGATATATTAAAGGTCAAATAAGGATACTTCTTTCCTGATTTTAGGCTTGCCGCTACGGTAAGAATCAACGCCGAAAACAACTGTAGTTTCAAAACACCTTTGCACCCCCGCCACCAGCGCTTCTGAGGGAACCTGTAAGCATGTGAAAAACATCTATCGCAAGAAAAACAACACACACACACACACACACACACACACACGGGCACCCGGGGACAAAACGATGACATCCCCGGGTTGGGTTCAAAACCTGTGCATCCTGCCCCTCCGGTGCTGGCACGCCCTAAAATCATCGTCGCATAGCCTACGAACCACATGCGACGTTCTATAGGGTGCATATCGACTGCGGGTACAACTTCATGGCCATTTGGGCGTGTTCGATTCAAATCTGAACCTGTCAGGACACGTGAGAAACATCGATACGGCTACATGTCGACATCGGGTGTCGGCGTCCGTTGTCGTCCGACCCTGGACACGGAGGGCGCTGGTTGTGCTCTCTCCGTGCCCGCCGCGCCCTCCCCTTTCCTCTCCCCTCCCTCCTGCCCGCCCCCGTCCCCTTCCTCTGTCGGCCATGCGCGCCTGCCGCAACAGCTCCGCGGCCGCTTTTTCTGCCCTCTTCTCTTCGCGGACTTTTGCCCTCGCAGCCTTCGCGTCGCTCTCCGCCTTGTCTGCGCGTTCTTTTACGGCAACAGCGTCCAGGAACTCAGGCGCGGTAATGTTGCCTCCGTCGGGAAGGCCAAGCGAGCCCCGCGAGGTCGCCATCTTCTTCGCGCGCTTTCGTTGAGTCAAGAGGCCACCGAGTAACATCGTGCCTACTCGGATTCCCGTGACGGTGTGCCCTTGCCCCCTCAGCACTCTGAGGGCCCTTACTCCGATGTCTTTTTCCGGCTGCTCGTTGTGGGCGGCGATGGGGATATCCTGTAGGGGTGTGCGCTCGTCTCGCCGCTCTTTCTTCTTCGCTGTGCCCTTCAGCCGGCCCAGCGCCCGCTCCTTGTTCACAGGCCACAAGCTCGCCCCAGCGAATAATGATTTATTTATCTCCGGTGTAAAGCTCAATTTCCAAGCATCCGCGATNGAAGGACGCCAAGACTCTGGTCACCGATTTCTTAAAGCTTCCGAAGGCGACGACATCCAAGGGCTGGGTGATGTGCGACGTGTGGGAGGGTAGCTGGAACAAGATGATTTTGAGATTCATGGCCAGCTTGATTACCTCCACGCTCACGTGTGATGCATGTCCATCGAGCAAGAGTATGTGGGGTTTTCCGTCGAGCAACCCTCGGTCGCCGAGCTGCTTGTGGAAATCCTTCAAGTAGTTCATGAACACGTCTCCCTGCATGAACGAAGAATCCGTACAGGTGTGCCTTGCACCCTCCGGGCCGTTTCGCTCTACAAAGCAATCGGCCTGAAGTCGTTGCCCTTTGAAGATAATGGTTGGTGCCCAGGTGTGACCATCAGCGCTGATGGTAGCGACCACGGTGGTGTTCTCTCGCGAGTTGGCGCGCATCGAACCAACCACCTTCTGCCCTGATTCCGCAAACGCCTTCGTCGTCTTGGTTCCTTGCGGGGTGGTACCTGCAACGGGAGCGCGTATGTGAGGGTCGGGGGGGGGGGGCGTTAGGCTAGTCTAATGGATGGTCAAAATTACCAATTACCAGCAGTAGTGTACGCACGCAGCCAAACATTTACAGTCAATATCGTGCGCGCCAAGCAACAGGGGTGGACGGGGGGGGGACACGCGGTGGCCCTTTTTCATTTATTTTCGTGCGGCGAGGGCTTTCAACCTACGCAGTCTACCTGTAGACTAGTTTAGATTCTTTCATGTGTTGGCACATGCATCTACTCAACATCGCTCCCCCTCGACTAAGTTACACGTTCGTCGCCGCAGGTTCCCTCGAACTACCAGCTGAAGACGATGCGATGCAGCTCTGAAAATATTGAATTTTAGACTACCATAGTCTACAGCAGTACATTGTCTGACCAGAGCTGTACTCTACTTTTGTGTCTGGAACTACTGCTGTAGCCTACTCTAGACCAGAGTCAGCGGCAATTTCGGCATTTTTGAGCAGGAATGCGGGAGCACGGCCTCTTAGACTACACTACAGCAGTACATGAGGAGGCCAAAATAACGCCGCAAGGGGGCAGAACTCTGCCTGATATTTTTCGTGGGACATGTTTCGTGGTCTTTGCACAGCAGTCACCCGCGCAGTTTCTACTGCTGCCACACTTCTACTACTGCTGTAGGCTATCTACACTAGTCTAGACGAGTCTAGACCTAGACTCGTCTACGAACGGATCTTCACCTGTCTCGTCCGTGTTGTGCACGTGGTTGGCCTCCGGTTTGAACTCGTCGAGGAGAGCTGCCCATCTCTCGTAGAACTGCACCATGCGAGGCTCCTCGTCTTCGGTGATCCTGTTTGCCTCGTAGATGCGGGTCGAGCGCTCCGCGACCCGTGGGTGCCTACGACGGAAGCCCGCAAGCCAATCTTTCCCCGGACCCTTCTCTGGATCCCAAGGGATCCGCCGACCGTCGTTGCAGAGTCGTCGCACCGCATCTCTGAGGTGAACCCGACCCACAGCCAAGAAGTTGCGAGCAGCAAACAGCAGAATATCTTCCAGCGAATCCTCCTCTTCTTTGCTCAGGATGGTCTCGGCACCAACCTTCGCGTTCATGGCCACCTTGCCACGGCGGCGGTCTTCGATGGACGTACGACCTACCCCAAAGACCCCAGCAGCCTTCCTAACCGACATTCCATCATCTATCGCTGCACAGGCCTTCCGAACCTGCTCCTCGTCCACCTTGCGCCGGGTCATGCTTAGCAAAAATCCCAAGGAAACGACTAAGGTGGCTAGTAGCGGGAGCGGTGGGGGCTCCCTCGGCTGTATCTCGGGGTGGAATGCTCGGCGTGCCACGCTGTGGTGCTCAAACGAGAGCTACGGTTTCGCGGAGCAATTCAAAAAAAGAACCAAGGGGCTCCGTGGATTCTGTGGAGAGATACCCCCTTTAAAAAAAAGTGGCCTTTAATACCCGGGTGGCCTTTAATACCCGCCGCTACTCTAGGCATTTTGGTGAGGGCCGAAACCTTGGCACCGTTAGGCCTAACGCCGTCAGGGGAGATGGTGTGTCCGACGAAGTCTGCTTCAGTTGCGCCAATAGTAGCTTTCGGAGGCGTGAGCTTCGAGTTGTGGGTACGCAAGCGTTCAAAGAGTGTGCGCATGGTACCAACATGAGTAGCAGGGGTATCATCAAAGACGATTCAATCATCCAAGTAGGATGCAACACCGCGGAGATTTTCGATGAATTCGTTGACAACTTTTCAAAACCACCCAGGGGCAGCCGAACTGCCTTGAGGCATCTTCAACCACTCCAAAAGCCCGGAAGACGTCACGAATGCCGTCAAAGGGATTGTATATAGGTGCACCGTGATTTGGTGGAACGAAGATTTCATGTCGAACAGGGAATAAATTCGCCCTTTCAACATTTGTCCAAAGTATCATCGACTCGAGGAATCGGAAGCTGACTCAAGGCACAAAGCTTGTTGAGCTTACGATAATTGACGGTGATGCGAACACCACCAGATTTCTTCGGTATGACTACCAAAGGGCTCGAGTAAGGCGAGGTCGAATGTTGGATCAAACCTGCCGCAAGATATTGGTCAAGGATCGCGTAAACTTGTTTCGCCACCGGGGGATTAACGCGGTAGGGGCGAGACGTGACGGGTGCGCTGCCAGGAGGAACTGTAAGCTTAAAAGGAAAAGCGAACAAGGTCCAAAGTCGGTCGGAGAACTCGAAAACACATCATGGTATTCGCACAAAACGTTACCAAGCTGAGTAATGACATCGGGAGTCCAACCCGGGCCGTGGAGATTAAAAGTATTCTCACGGAGATGGCAGGGGAGCTTGTCCCAGACATGGGAGAAACTTTGACGCTGTTCTGGCGTCAACCGCTCGAGAAGAGCAGGCGAAGGCGACGAAGAGGGAGAACTGGCGGAACCAAAGTCCCCTCGGTCGCTTGCTGACGGGATGGGTCGCTCGTGTATATGATACACAAAGGGGTCAGAGACGGAGTGCGTGGCAGACGAATCATTGCTACCCGCAGGAACAGGACCAGGGACCCAGTTGTATGAAGCAGCGGTGGATTTTGAAGCCGCAGTTTTAAGACCATCGCTCAAACTGTGGCGAGAAACAGCGCTAAGAGGCACACGAAGATGGGGAGCCGAAGCTGTACCCAGGACGTCGCCGGGTTCGAGAGACGAGATGCCCGCAAGAGGGATGCGTTAGCAGCCATTTTGCACAAAATGTTCCTCGGAAGAAAACATGGCACATTGGGGAAGCATATCCACCAAATAGTTATCCACAAGGGCAGGCGAGCCATCATTGCGTACCAAACTGACCTGAATGAGACTATGCTCTGGGTGAAGTTGAACGGAATGTTTGCCTGCATGGCGAAGTTGGTAACTTCCATCCGTCGCGGACAGATCGTGAGCAAATGCGTGGCACCACAAGTGTCATGTTGGGCTAATGTAAGCTCAACAAAGACACGGTCGCCAGGACGTTTCGCACGCGAAGTGCGGTAAGAACGGTCACTAGACCGCATCCAACTATCTCTGCCGAGGAGCACGTCATGATGCATGACGCCGTCAGGAACAAAGTATGCCCACACAGCAAGAGAGAAAGTAGGAAGGTTCTTACGAAGAAACGTACACTCAAACGGACAATGGTCGAAGTTTGAAGCGGCGCAGATTTCCCAAAACCACCCCAACAGCGAGGTTGGGTGTGTTTCTCAGACATCGTTGAAGCAGCCGAAGCCGCTTTCATGGATTCCCATGCAGAAGCACTAATAAAAGACTGCGGAGAACCCGTACCAAAAGAGCGATACACCCAAACTGCACAGAGGCCGAACCGCTGTGGAGGAGGATTCTGGCGGTGAAAGAGTCGTCATCGATGGTGACAACACCACCAACCAAATCCGGACCTTGGTCTGGGAGCGAGGAGGAGGACGACGGGATGTATTCTGAAGACACGGCCCAAACGGCGGTGTCGTGATCCGACGGGACATTCGGAGCGTATTGTGAAAATGATGTGAACCGGTCGGTCGATGGAGGGCACGCAGCCGTCCGAAGGCGCTGGTGTGTGGAAAGGTTATCTTCATACACTGCAGAATGAAGGGACGACGTCGGAACGTGGTCGGTCGGAGGCAGCAAACGAGAGCTGCGCTCGGGAGGCGGGGCACGGTGTCTTAAAAGACTGCGTACGTTCTGTAGGGCGGTGCCTAACAAGTTGAGGCCGCGCCATCTAGATGTGCATCAAGCGTCAGGATGATCGGCCTGGAGGCCAATGCCTCAAACACGGTCGTAAGGACTGGCTTCGGCAAAGATTTTGTCACCAGATCCGAGGACATGAATTCGTAACTCGGAATTATGACTAAATTTTGCGAAAGAACCGGTGAGCAGAATGTTTTCGCGTTCTTGTTCCCAAAGAGATTGGTCGAAACCACGGACCTCACGGCCAAACAATTTGTGTAAGGCCGGGTCTGACACTCGCATGATGTTCTGCAAAGCACAGCGATCTCCGAAAAGACGGGCTTTTTCTGCAGCGAAAAATTGTTCGGCACACGAGTAAACAACGCCATCGACCGTGAAGGTCGACGGTCTCCATTGGGAAAAGGGGAGGGCGGCTTCCGAAAGAAACCCATGTCTGGAGCACAATACTCGGTAGACGGGTCGACGACGGCCGAAGCACCAAAGGCCGGAGCGCCCTGAGTACTGTTAATCGAAGCTGGAGTCGCAGCCAAAGATGGGGAGTCATGATGGACAGTATGCACATCCATGGGGGTGGTCCTTGTAACAGCGGGAACCGACGAAGAATCGACTTGAGTCGGATGGTTCGGAATTGGACCAGCAACACTGGGCTGGGTGCACCCAAATTCTAAACCTGAAGAAACGCCTCGTAAGGTGNGCTTTTTCTGCAGCGAAAAATTGTTCGGCACACGAGTAAACAACGCCATCGACCGTGAAGGTCGACGGTCTCCATTGGGAAAAGGGGAGGGCGGCTTCCGAAAGAAACCCATGTCTGGAGCACAATACTCGGTAGACGGGTCGACGACGGCCGAAGCACCAAAGGCCGGAGCGCCCTGAGTACTGTTAATCGAAGCTGGAGTCGCAGCCAAAGATGGGGAGTCATGATGGACAGTATGCACATCCATGGGGGTGGTCCTTGTAACAGCGGGAACCGACGAAGAATCGACTTGAGTCGGATGGTTCGGAATTGGACCAGCAACACTGGGCTGGGTGCACCCAAATTCTAAACCTGAAGAAACGCCTCGTAAGGTGTTCGGCAACAGGTCGCTTTCGCTGGGAACGGCTGCCAAAGCCGGGTTAATTGAAGAACTGAACAGAGCATGGCGCTCCTGGCTATTCCCCTGTGACAAGGTACGCGAGACCGCCGGCTGTTCGGAGGTCACTTCGGGGGCGTCCTCCCGAACCGGTGGTGTCAACACTGTCGACGTCGGTCGCAGCAGCCTAGAGGTGGGTGCCGTTGTGCGAGCGTGCGTCGGAGCAGGTGGGGCTTGAAAAGACGACCCACGGTCGAAATGTCGCGTGGCGGAATCTGAGGATGTCCGGTGGTCGGAACCAGGGGGACAAGGCGATTCAAAGTCAGACGAATTTGACCCTAAAACTTGCCGGTCGGAACCAGTCAAGTTAGCTATCGGTGCAACAGTCGAAGGCGGACCTTCAACGGAAGCTGGCATAGACGAATTGAGCGTATCCGAAGAAGCACCTGAGGCAATCAATTCGGGCAAGTCTTCATCAATCCTCCAAAGTTCATGGCCATTGCCGATCCTATCTGCAGACGACGANGTCAAGTTAGCTATCGGTGCAACAGTCGAAGGCGGACCTTCAACGGAAGCTGGCATAGACGAATTGAGCGTATCCGAAGAAGCACCTGAGGCAATCAATTCGGGCAAGTCTTCATCAATCCTCCAAAGTTCATGGCCATTGCCGATCCTATCTGCAGACGACGAGGGGAGCGAACGAGAGGTGCTCGACGAACGAGGAGAACTCTTTGGCCCCGAAGGTCCCACGGGTCTGTTCCCACACCTCAAGACAGCACTCACGGCAGACTGATTAGTTTCCGACGAAGCAGTAATCCAACGAGGCGAGGGTGCAGAGGCTGCAGACGATAAGTGCGATGACGAAGGTGGGATGTGAGCATTTGGCTCAAGACCGACCTGATCGACACTTGAAGAAAAAGCGTGTACCTGAGTACCGCTGTCATTGGATAGCACCGAAGTGCGAGAGCGCGTAGGGAGAACATTTACCGAAGTATTGTTGTGGTTGCTTAGGACCGAAGTGCTAGAGGCAACAGAGCGCGAAGGGAGAACATTTACCGAAGTTGTTGTCGTTACTTAAGACCGGAGTGCTAGAGGCAACAGAGCGCGTAGGGAGAACATGTACTGCAGTATTGTTGTCGTTGCCTAAGACCGGAGTGCTAGAGTCAACAGAGCGCGTAGGGAAAACACGTACCGAAGTACTGTTGTCGGTGCCTAAGACCGAAGTGCTAGAGTCAACAGAGCGCGTAGGGAAAACATGTACCGAAGTATTATTGTCGTTGGTTGAGACCGGAGTGCTAGAGGCAACTGAGGGTGATACACGCGCGTCTTGTCGTGAGCGAGACGAAGTTCCCAAAGATGCTGGAGGCGGTCCGAGACGAAACTACTGGCACGGTAACCGCTGGGTTCATGATGGTCAAAGTGTACGCCGGACGCCCATAGAGCGAACGCGTGGAATGGCCGTTATTGGGGGCAAAGGCGGAGCTACAGGGATAGATGCAGCAGAGGCAGTTGAAACTGCAGGCATCGACGGAGCTACTGAAGCCAATGCATTTGAAACAGTCGAAACTGGGGCTGGCAGTGGGGAAGCTACGGGGAAAAAGGGAGCGGAAGCGGGAGATGCTTCAGACCTATGGGGAGCTACTGCAGCAGATGGCGGGGCAGCAACCGAAATTGCAGTTGAAGTAGTCGAAACTATAGAAATAGGTGCATCACAATCAAGGGAAGCAGCCACGGTAGTCGAAACTACAGGAGCAGATGCAACGGGTTCAGTCGAAACCACTGAGACGGTTGCATAGGAAGCGGTCGGAACCGGAAAGGCAGTCGAAACCACCGGAACAGATGCACGTGGGGCAGTCAAATCCAAAGGCACAGATGCCACTGAAACGGATGCACGACGGTCAAGAAGCCGTTGGGCACGAGCGGCGGCTTGTGTGCGACTGACTGCTACGCGACGAAAAAGGAGGAATGGCCGGCACAGTGTAATCGAAATGCAGTGTGCTGCCAACAACAGAGCCATGAGGCAAGCGTGGCACTACAGAACCAGTATTGTCAAAGCCAATGTCTGCCCGAACAGCAGAAGGCTCAGCGGCGGTGGAGGTGAAGGGAAAAGTGGAATCAGCAACACGTGGTTCCGGCGGGAAAACTTGGGACACACCACCAGTGGCTGCAAAAACAGAAGGCTGGGTACTCGAAAGGACAGAGGTGGAAGCCGAAGCTTCTGTTGTGGGTGCTGGCAATTTGAGGACAGCACCCTCGGGGTTAGCGTCAGTAGAAGCCGTGGAGGCGAACTCCTCCCGTCGGCGTTGAGCGCGAAGCTCTGACAAACGGGTGGCTTCTACGATGGAGTCAGCAGCACTCGCGCCATCAAAAGACGGCAACAACGACGATTGGGAATTGTCGGCTGTCGGCCCGAAAGCCGACGCACTGTGTGGAAACACCAGCGAGCGAGAACACTCTGAGGGCTCTGGACTGGCCGAAGCCGAGTCCGAGGAGCTGACGCTAAGTTGAGACATACCGATCAGCGAGGCAGAGCTAAGTTGTGTGGAGACGAAAGCGCAGAAAGCTGCGTGCAGCAGCAGGCTCGAGTCACCCAAACACAAACCCCAGAAAGCATGCTGTACGTTTATGCCGACAACGCCAAGTGTAAAGGAGAAGCACGCGCGGTGCAATCTGGGAGACCCGTGAAGACGAACTCACTTGTTATTAACTCGTGTGGAACAGCAGTAGGTGTTGCCAAGGGAAGGTAGAGGACTTACTAGGATGGGGCCAGGATCAGCTGCTAAAGCACGGGCTACTAGATCCTGTCCCCTGTTTTGTCCTTCCATGGGGAGTTGCATCTTCCGCACTTTTCTCTGGGCATTAGCCCGCACTACCGTTTGTACTTTCGTATACATTCAAATCCCATAACAGACCTCGTTCTACGAGGGTACATATTATTCACGTTTTTTATGTTAATCTTAGGAACTGCAGATAATTTTGTTCAAATGTTCGTTGGATGGGAAGGAGTAAGTCTTTGTTCTTATTTATCTATAACGTTTTGACTTATTACTAGAATTCAAGCTAATAAGGTAGATATTAACGCGATGTCGGCTAATAGAGTTGGATATTTTGGTTTTTTAGCTCTTGGTACCTTTGGAGTCTTTGTATGTATGCTCTGATGCTGTAGATTAAAATACAGTTTTTGCTTTAGCTCCGCAATTATCTTATTCTACGTTGTTATTTGTTAATCTTAGATTTAATGCTTTAAATTTGATAGGTATTCTTATATTTGTAGGGGCTTAAGGAAAATCTGCGCAGCTGGGGCTACATACTTGGTGGCCTGATGCAATGGAAGGTCCTACGCCTGTCTCTGCTCTTATTATTATTTTGTTTGCCCTCCGACAATTGCATATGAATGCAGGCATACATAAAAAGTCGATCGTAAAGCTCTTATTCATGAAGCTACGGTTACTACTACTGGTGTATGTATTCCTTTTAGCTCGTTGCTCTCCACTTTCAAGGATTGTCCTGATGCACGTTTTGCTATAAGCATCATAGATAGGAGGTATGACTGTTTTTTTTGCAGCAACTGCTTTATTTAGTTCAGAACGATTTGAGACGAGTTATCGCTTACTCGACTTGTAGTCAATTAGGCTATACGTTATTTGCTTGTGGTTTATCAAATTACTCAGCAGCTTCGTTCCATATAGCAAATCATGCTTTTTTGAAGGCTCTTCTTTTTCTTTGTGCTGGTTCTGTTATACATGCTGTTGGTGAAGAGCAAGATATGAGAAAAATGGGAAGATTGCGTCGACTCTTACCTTTTTCATATGCTATGATGGTTATTGGTGCTCTAGCTCTTACGGGTATGCCTGTTCTTCCAGGATTTTTTTCACAAGATGTAATTCTTGAAGTAGGCTACGCTACGTATTCTAGTGCGTCGCACTTCGTTCGCGTATTGGTGAGGAAGTTTTGTATCATTTTGTACTGCATTTTACTCTATTATATTATTTGCTTTATGTTTTTTACCTGAGCCTAATGGTAGTAGAACTTTTCTACCCTCAGCATCTGAAGGTTGTTGGCCTATGGGTATAGTATTAGACACTTTAGCCTTACCTGGTATGTTTATAGGGTACGTCAGCCGAGATCTTCTTACTGCTTTAGGTACTGATTGTTGGGGAAATGCATTACATATTATTTTTTCGGCTTAATAATATTGGTAAAATAGACGCTGAATTTATGTTTACAGGCATACAAATATTACCTCGTTGCGTTGGTATTTTAGGAGGTTTTTCTTCATCTGTTTTATATAGAAATTATAGCCGTAATCTATCTCTTTTTTCTATATTAGGTCGTGCGACAGCTTTATTTAACCTCACCACTTCGGTGGAAAGCGGATTTATTTCTGTTCGATGCGGTGTCGGGAGTGCGAAGGGGGGAGGGCTTGGCCCTTGTGGTTGCAGGTGGCAAGGAAGTAGGAACAGGGGGTGGCAGTTTGTTTTTGTTTGTTTGTTTTTCTCCCATCATTGGACTGACTCTGTCGTCTGCCCCTCTGGCCCCTATCCTCCACTTCTACTAGCTAGACGACCCAACCGGGGTCACATAGGAGGGGGGGGTTGCACCCCCTCCTGCGGTTCATGCCTGAGGTATTTTTATCGCGAGAAGGGTACAGCAATCCCTTCCCTCGCGACTTACGAAGTCGATTATGGTTTACTAACAAACGAGCTTTGCAGCGCGTCGCTTTCATCCTAGACCAGGATTTATTTAGTGAGAAAAAAACTCTCTCTCCCGGGACTCGAACCCATGACCTGGCCCTTAGCAGGCTGCGAGGCTACCCACTAGACCACCGGGGCGACCGGTGTGTGTCGGGGGTCCGGGGGAACACGGATGGGCTTGAATGGGGGTTGCCTCAGAAAGAGCAAGACGGAGGGTGTTTCTCTCTTGGTGTGACCGGTGGCAGTGTCGATCAGCAATCAATGCCCCACAGACTTTTGTACGCCCGAATATGCGTGCAACAGCTTCAACCTAACCACTTCGTTCGGTGGAAAGCGGATTTCTGTTCGATACGGTGTCGGGAGTGCTCAAGGGGGGAGGGCTTGGCCCTTGTGGTTGCAGGTGGTAAGGAAGTGGGAACAGGGGGTGGCAGTGTCGGGGGTCTGGGGGAACATGGGCTTGAGTGGGGGGTGTCTCAGAAAGAGCAACACGGCGGGTGTTTCTCTGTTGGTGTGACCGGTGGCAGTATCGATCAGCAATGCCGCACAGACTTTTGCGCGCCGAAATATGCGTTCGACAGCTTTAACCTAANGTTTTGTTCGTTTTTCTCCGTCTAAGGTTCGTGCCTAGAGTTCAGCTGTATGTCGTGTTTCAACCAAAGTTTTGTTGACTTAGAGGCAAACATTCCTAGCTATTGGGCATCGAGTTAATTTGGCTTGGCATGACGGCCTTTACGATCGACTTTTCATGTATGTCTGCATTTATCTACAATTGTCGGAGGGCAAACAAAATAATAATAATATTAGGTCGTAAGTTATTTACTTTCCTTAACCAACCGTAAATGGTTATTTGACATATTATGATAAAAATATATATAAGTATACTTGTTTGAGAGTAGATGTGACAGATTTGCGTAGAATAGGGTAAGATGTTATCATGAACGGAGATGAAAGGGCTTTTCCAACACGGAGATTTAGCATGGATCAAAGCATTTGTTGGATTTCAGCTTTTTTTACAAGCGGACATCAACGCAGTAGTATTTTAGCAAGCTTACGAACGCATATAGGATACCATCAGGATTGTCATTGGTAAGTTGAAGAGGAGATACTTTTACGATGTAAATGACAGTAGAAATAAGTCCTACATATGTTGTTGTACTTCGTATTGGTTTAATATTCATGTAGAGTATGAGACATTAAGTGAAAGTTTTCTGAGGTACATCTGCAATTGTCGGAAGGCAAAAATAAATAAATAAATATATTATTATTATTTCATTACCCCAAATACTTTAGATTTGGTAATCATTTTACTAATAAATCAATCAATCGTGGTCTTATTGAAAGTCTGGATCAAGTCAATAAATAAATCTCGTTTGTTTATGGCACTCAGGTTATTTGTTTCATTATTTAGTAGTATTAGGATGGAGCATCCCTTTATTCCGTCTATGGTTTATCTTTGTTTTTAAATTCTTACCAGTACAGGTACTATTTATTTTCATAGCTTTATGGTTGATTCTATAATTTTTATTATTTCAAGTGTTGGAGCCATTTTAGGAATTAATGTTACAAGTACGAAAAATACAGTATATTGTGGGCTTTTTCTTGTGCTCCGAGGATTGCTTTTTTATTAGGTCTTGAATTTATTGCTTTACTTTTTTTTCTTTTGGCTAATAATGCTGGTGCTATCGCTGTGCTGGTATTGTTTGTAGTTATGGTGCTAGATGTTAAAGCTATTGTAAACCCTTGGTCAGCAACAAAAAACGATTACTTCACTTTGAGGTTTAACCTTTTTTTTCTTTTTGATCGCATTAGGGTGGAACGAAGAGTTTACAAAGTTCAATAAAGTTATTTGCAACACCTAATATAGGTTCGTTAGTTTTTTTAACCTAGAAAAATATGAAAAATATATTAAAGAAAATTTCCAATCAATTTTTATTATCAATTGTTGATAATGAAATAGCAAACAAATATCAATTTAGATCAAATAAAGGATATAAGTGAATTTGAGACTTCAAACCGAAATCTTCGTAAAACTTTTATTGATTCTGTTGATGAAAAAGTAGATTCTTGGTGTAATTTATGCGATTCTGACGGTCTTACAGTTTTTTTTTCGTTTTTTATTTTATAAAGTACGGACTCTTCTTATGCTGCTAATAGATGTGGTGCGTTGAATTTGATTCGCCTTGCGCTTTAAATGATCCAAGTTATTTACTTTATTCAACTTATGCTATATTGTTAATTATAGCTAGTGTTATTCTTTTAATAGCTATGGTAGGGGCCACTAGCTAACATTACAGAAAAATTGCCCTGAAATTTTATACCGTCAATTAGGTCGCGAGTCTAAAAATAAATGCGGTTTTTCCAATAAAAGAAAAAGAAATAATACAACAAAAAATATTGTAGAGACTTTAAAGGAGGTTAGTTTAGATGTACTTTATTTTAATTCTGCTTACTATATCTATTAATGATCTTATTATTTGGTTGGGTAAATTTTACAAGGGTGTGTTTAGTAGAGTAGAGTATTTTGAGTAGAGTATCGACAGTCGTACTAAAGGTTTAGTAGAGTAGAGTATCGGGAGTAGTACTAAACCTAATAGTAGGTCGAGTAGAGTATCGGCAGTAGTACTAAAACTTTAGTAGAGTAGAGTATCGGGAGGAGTACTAAACCTAATAGTAGGGTGAGTAGAGTATCGAGACCTCTACTAAAGGTTTAGTAGAGTAGAGTATCGGGAGTAGTACTAAACCTAATAGTAGGTCGAGTAGAGTATCGAGACCTCTACTAAAACTTTAGTAGAGTAGAGTATCACGAGCAGTACTAAACCTAATAGTAGGGTGAGTAGAGTATCGAGACCTTTACTAAACCTAATAGTAGGTTGAGTAGAGTATCGAGACCTCTACTAAAGGTTTAGTACAGTATCGAGACCTCTACTAAACCTACTATTAGGATGAGTAGAGTATCGAGACCTCTACTAAAGGTTTAGTAGAGTAGAGTACCGAGACCTCTACTAAACCTAAACCTACTATTGGCGTGAGTAGATTTGGGAGTACCTACCTACCTACCTACCTATCGTATCTTTTTGATTAATGGAAACTGGAACATGCTGGAACCCCCCCCCGTTGCACACAGCCCCCATGCTCCTTCGCCCCGGTCCTCTCTCTTGAAGTTCAAGTGCTTGCCGTGACGCCCCCTCCCCAGCAACTACTACTACTATTACTATTACTATTACTATTACTAATACTAGCAGCGCTGGACAGGTGACAGGCGACAAGGAAGTTGTAGAGCACTCCAATTGTAGTAATCCTAATCCTACTCCTACTCCTGTACTTCTACTCCTACTCGTGCACTGCTACTCTTCAATCACAAAATAAAATGTCAAGTAGACTACCCATCTATAGGCCGGTGTCATCCTCGCCGGGAGGAGTGTTGTTTCGCAGTGGGTCCAGCGCCATCTCTGCACTCAGGAGATCTTCGTCCGTTCCCTTAAACTTTGCGGGGAGGCACTTCCTGATGTCCTTTGAGTCGATGCTCGGGATGTTGTCGTACTTGGGGATAAATTTGAAGTTCGCGTTAAGGAACATCACCATTTCCACCCAGTATTCCTCGACACGGCTGCGGTTAGGCACCAAGAAAAGCCCGCACCCGCTGAAGTCTCGCTCCACCGGAGCGGCAGAGGGCTGGCTCCCGAATGTTTGCTGCGCCACATGCTTCAGTGCGGGAAAAGAGTGTCTTCCGGTAGTCGCCCAGTAAGACAGGACCTCGGTGGGATGCAACTGGAAGGAAGGACACGGAGGCAGCAGGCGGGATCGAGTAGGTATTTAGTTTGAAGTTTCGTTTCGCATCGATGACACACAAATCAAATTGAAGACAAGAGATACAGATATATATGTAGACCAACATGCGAGACAAACCCCAATTTTGCTGTCTGATGTGGTACTGGAAACCGTGAGGTTGACTTAACGCAGCCTGGCAAACAACAGAGGATCGCGTACATGAAATAAAGTATACGGAAAGCAAGCAGGGAGACGCGTACATGAAATAAAGTACTTCTGACTTCTGTTTTGTACTCACGTCGTTTGAGGTCATAAACACCCCTTTGTACCGCATGATCTCGTTCGCGACCTCCTGCTCCACGGCGTCTCCCTGCTTGCTTTCCTCCACACCTCCTACGGAGCGCCCGAAAGCCGCAAACTCGTCACCATCAACCGGTCTACGACGACCCCCCCCCCCGGCAGTGCGGGCACGTTTGAAAACGCCAGCTGCACCCGGACCACTGCTCGCCGCGGCCTGCTCTTTCTTGACGGCTTCAACGGCGCGCTCCTTGATTTCCTTCCACGTCTCGTCCAGCTTAGCTGTCACTTCCTCATCCATCGTGGGGGCGGTTGCGGTGGAGGTGGAAGGCAAGTACTCGTCATCGCCCGCTGCCAGCTTCATCGCCGCCACGTGAAGTCCTTCACTGAACGGCGGCGTGAGGAGGCATGCAGCATGGCAGAAAAAAGGGGGATCCAAGGTGTTCTCGTCCCACACACGCCCATAGAACCTCGACACGAGCGCCCGGCGCATTTCCACGCGCGTCTTTTCGACCGCGGCGTGCAATTGCTCTGGTGGCACCATCTTGAAGGGCAGTGGCTTCTTCTGTTGTCCGCGGTCAGGTAGGCCGTCTTCTCCGATGGGCGGGACTTGGAAGACCTTGAGGTCCTTTGACGGGTCCAGCACGTCCGTGTTGAGCATGCCGAACTTCATGAAGATATCCGCCATCATCGGCGCGTCGCCGTACTGACCATCACGCGTGATGGAGGAAAGCGGCTGCAGCAGCGAGTAGAGTTGGAGGATGGCGTCCTTGGTGTCGCCCTCTTCGAGAGGAAAGTTCCTGCCCTCGTCGCTGTAAAGCTTCCTCAAGACGTGCCACAAGCGGATGGTTCGCTCCACTGTGCGAGTGAGACTGAGCCACCGTTGAGGCGCGTGCTTGACCATCTTGAAGATCTCGCCCAACATGTCCACCTGGAGGTCCTCGAACTTGGCCTTGAAGTTCGGGGACTTGTTGAGGTTCTCGACGACCTTGACCACCTTCTTCAGGATGTCACGCGCTTGCGGGTTCTTCGACTTCGCCGGGTCGAGGTGGATGCCGTAGGCCTGCTCGGCGGCCTTGACCATGAGGTGGCAGAAACACCAACACCACAGTACTGCGTACATCGGCCACAGGCAATTGGTGCTCACGGCCTTGACGTCCGACCCGCTGTCCGTAGTACCCGAGGCGAGGTGCGATGGTTTGAGGCCGAACTCCTCGAGGACACTCTTCATGATCTGGAAAAGCACATCGGAGGCCCTCTGGTCTCCCAGGCTGCCCTGATCAGGAGCGTAGCGCTTGATCTGGGGGAATATTCATTACAGCAGGCAGGAGACAACAGAGAAACCGGGGGTCAGTTCCGAGACAAGAAAAAATCCACATGCGATCAACAGAGCGTATCATAATCACACCCAAACAAGATGAATACGAAAACCTCAAAGCAAGGAGTAGGTCTCCGACCCCGGACAAAGATGAAGATTCACTCACAGAGAGAAGGGCATCCTTCAGCTCGAAGTTCGCGTCCACATAGAACACGTGAAGCCCTAGGAACTTCCGCCCCGATCCTTTGTCAGTCCAAATGTCGATGTTGTGGTGCAAAATGGGAAGCGGCGCCCTTTCCACCTCCTGCACCATGTTGCCCACGACTACCTGCAGTTTTAATGGCGTTGTTGTGAAGTACAGTATTCAAAGATTAAAGATTTAGATTTAGTATTGGTATTGAATATCGAGCTTGGGTTTTCATGTCACCAGATTATATTATTTTTGTTTTGCATTTTGCATCGACCAGCATTCAAGCGGAAACATATTCCTGAAGTCACATCCAAAATCGCAAGTCAACCATCAACAATGAATTTAATTGGATTTACCAGTAGACACGTGCAAAAGAACGATGAACACGAACCTCCTAACAGAACATCTAAAACGTTTTACGGCCAAGTACCGTTGGTGTTTCACCTTTTTCGTGGCGACGTAGAGCTCGGTGATGAGGTGCTTGACACGACGCGGAGGCAGCGTTGGGTACGACGAGGTTCCTGTGGCCGTCGCCATCATCTCCTTGAACGTGCCCCCGCTCGAGAAGAAGGAAAACGGCAGCATCTTCTCCACGACAAGCTTCGCCGCCTGCAGCTCTTTTACCCTGGAGAACAAAGAGAGTAGGCATCAAAATGGCGACCACAACAAAAAAACGAGGGGAGGGAGAGGTCAGAAAGCGCCTGGGACATGAGAGGAGCAACGTGAAAAATCAGCCAAAACGGGTGGGGGTTGGGGACGGTGCATAGGGTAGGAGAAGCAGATAAAAAAATTATATATTAATAATATTAATAATAATAACAATAATACAAAATATTAATATTAATAATAAAATTGACAATTTGTCTGTACTCCTAACTACCACACACAACAGAAACAAAGTATAGTATCATTAAATTCAAAATACCATTATTAATAATGTATTCAATGTATTTTAATTGTTAATACTTAAAAAAAAAACGTCGGTACTTCAAAACCACCGCACACAACAGAAACAAGTATAAATGAAATGCACATTCAAGATCAAAACTACATCACAAATTGTCACTCTACGACAGCACGTCGCTTGTTCTTGTTTTATATCTACTTGTTGTACGAGTACATTCACACTACTCGAACTACTCGAACCACTAAAACTACTCTACTTGAACAAATATAAATATACTCTACTCAAAATACAAAATACTACTCAAACATCGGTGTCACTACTCGAACTACTCGAACTACTCAAACTACTCTGCTTGAAAAAATATACTCAAACATCGGTGTCGCTCCGTCTCGTAAAAAATCGCTCTCTCCCACAAAGACACGAATATGAATGAGAATCACCTTTACCTTTTACCGCCAACGCCGAAGGTCTTGCTCGCTCCCATAGCTGCCCTGATGTTTCCCTGATGGTTTTGGGCGTTCTCCATTCTCACAGCCCCCTTGGCGCCAACCAGCTGGTGGACTTCACGAAAGTGTTTGTTGACGTTGCTCTTGGAACCCTTCGGGCAAGGTGTGGTCTTTGTGGATGTCCGACACTTCCCAACTTGGCACTTGTAGTAACCAATCCACTTCCCGCTCTTCTCCACAGGCGCGGCGTAGTTTCCCAGGCTGTACAGGAAGGAGTCCTCCCGAGCTCCTTCCCGTTGATACTCGTCTTTGGCCTTGAACGACTCGATGGAGTCGATCGTAACCTGCGGCACGACGAAGTCGTCGCCGCTCTTCGTGTAGATCGGAGCCGGCTGCTTGAGGCGCACCGCCGCTGAGTCTACTCCTGCAGAGACTTCGACCACGTCCTCTGATGGTGCATCGGTACCCGCTCCCGCTCCCGCAACGCTAGATGCGGCGGCGCTAGATGCGGCGGATCCACCGGCGGTCTCACTCATAGCTACCACCTCCCCTGCCCGCTACTCGCCTACTCGCTACTCGGTACCTACAGGGTCCGTGCGTCCGTGAGTAGTGAGTAGTTGTCTGCGTGGTGACCAGTAGTTGTGTGCGTATTACGCCGCTTCTGCCAAAGAATGACGTCACGAACACGTCCTTTGGTCGAGCATCGGGTAGATACCCGAGTGACTGCCCGAGCGGGTAGAGTACAGTACCGGGAGTAGTACTAAAGCTGTAGTAGAGTAGAGTATCTGGAGTAGTACTAAACCTACTATTGGGTCGAGTAGAGTATCGGCAGTAGTACTAAACCTTTAGTAGAGTAGAGTATCTGGAGTAGTACTAAACCTACTATTGGGCCGAGTAGAGTATCGGGAGTAGTACTAAACCTAATAGTAGGTTGAGTAGAGTATCGAGACTTCTACTAAAGGTTTAGTAATAGTAGAGTATCGAGACCCTACTAAAACTTTAGTAGAGTAGAGTATCGAGACCTTTACTAAACCTAATAGTAGGTTGAGTAGAGTATCGAGACCTCTACTAAACCTAATAGTAGGGTGAGTAGAGTAGATACTCGAGTATCTACCCGAGAGTAGGTTGAGTAGGTACTCTACTGAACACACCCTTGAAAGGGTTCTACTGTTACACAAGCTTGTCAGGCTGCAGGGGCGCAGGTTCCTAGGTTTTGTTATCATGATCAACTTTTTATTGCATGTAATTGTCGTATGTGTCTTGTTGAGGTTTGTAACTCACCAAAGCCTCAAGCTTCGTGTGCTTTACCCTTTTTACCTAATTATAAAGATTTTTTTCAAATTCAGCTCTTGTTCGTAAAGCTCAAGAGTCTGTTATGGAATCATTACTTTTGCATCATCCTTTAGATTGTCCAGTGTGTGATCAAGGAGGGGAATAAATGAATGCGATTTGCAAGAACAAAGTTTTAATTACGGGTCTGATAGAGGAAGATTTTTATTTTCCATTCTTTAGGTGATACTTTTTGGGGAAGCCTAATCAAAACAGTTTTAAGACGGTGTATTCTTTGTACAAGATGTGTACGATACACGTCTCAAATTGGGGGTGTAGATTTAAGGTACTTCTACTAGATAGAGGAGGTCATTCTGGAATTGGGATGTATGAAGAAAGTGTATTACAAACTGAGACTTCAGGTGGAGTTATAGAATTGTGTCCAGTTTGTTGGATAAACCCATCCATGTAGAAATTGAAAGAACTACTTGTAGTATGTTTTTTTGTAAAGAATATTATCCTGTAATATTATTTTTAGGCTTTAGTCTCGCTTCAGCTGGCGTTATTTTTGGTGCTTCGTTCATTTTAGCTATTTCAGATGCAGATACTGAGAAATTGTCTTCTTATGAATGCAGTTTTGATCCTTGTGAAGATGCTCGTAATGCCTTTGACGTTCGTTTTTGTCTTGTAGCAATCCGTTTTCTTCTTTTTGATATAGAAACTATTTTTCTCTTCCCTTGGTCAGTTTCTCTAAGTCAGTTGCCTTGAATAGATAGGTTAATGGTCCATGCCAGACTTTCTTTTCGAATTAGTTGTTGGTTGTATCTATGCTTGGCAAATTGGTAGTTTAGATTGGGAATGAGGAATTTAGATTACAAGCGTCGTCAATCTTTTGCTTTATATGAATCTAAGCGAAAACCTCTCCAAGCCGTAGCAACTAATCAAAAATTAGAATTATAATAAATACCGTAGCCATTATTATTATTATTTTGGTTGCCTTCCGACAATTGCAGATGTACCTCAGAAAACTTTCACTCAATGTAAAAATAATTGTATAAAAACTGGTAGATCTCGAGCTTTTATAGGTTTTCTAGAAATATCTAGGCTAACGTTTCGTCGTTTAGTCTCACAAGGGGATTTTCAAGGTTTTCGTAAAGCTTGCTGGTAAGCGTTAGATTAAAATATACAAAAATCAATCTTTTTAAGTAGGTCAACCTTTAATATTAAGGGAGGGGTTATATGGGGTTCATAATTAATCGACTCATTTGTTTTAGTATAATTCGATACAACGACGTTTGTTTTTCAATCCAAGTTCTTTGGTTAATGTCGATAGTTTTTGCTTTTCTTTTTACATCAAAGTTATGGGATACATGTTACCTGTATTAACCTTTGGTTTTAAGTCGCGTTCTAAAAACTTAATTCTAACTTCCAATAAAAAGTCAAATAAGTATAAATACGCATATTTTATAACTAGTATGTAAAGTAAATATGAAGAAATGAAATTTATTGAACTTTTTGATGAAGTATTATTCTTTTTCTATATTTTAAGGAGGCGTGGCTGAGTGATTTAAAGCCTTGGTTTGCTAAATCAATGTATATTTTCAATGTACCGTGGGTTCAAATCCCACCGCTTCCCTTAATTGGTTTACTTTATTCATTAGTATAAAATATTACAATGAAATATTTTACTATATGCTTGTGAGGTATGGGCAAGTTTAACAAATTTAAAGAGCTTAAAAATACACTGTATCTTCGTTGATATTGCCATTATCTCGTATTAGCACAGATTAACATACAAGCTGGTTCAGGGGAATGGATACAAAAAGATTCAACAACAAAACTTCACGCCGTTTTTAGGAGTTAGACTCTGAAACTTTGCACACATGTACCTTGGGTCATTACAAAACGCTGAGTGGAGGGGCCTTTTTTATTTTTCCCCTGTCGCCGGATATCCGGGGTCCTTTAGATTTCGGGGTCGTGTGCGGCTCCTGGGACCCCGAATAACTGGCGACCATGGAAGGAAATGAAAAAGGCCCCGCCACACAGCGTTTTGTATTGACCCAAGGTACATGTGTGCAAAGTTTCAGAGTCTAACTCATAAAAAATGGCGTGAAGTTTTCAGCTCTTGTGCCATGAAGTATTTCGCATCCTGGATTTCCCCAAACTACTTGATTAAAGTATGAAACGGCCAAATTCAGGTTCAATTCAGGTTCTTTTGGCGCCCAAACGACCCCATTTCATCAGTTTATCGAATGAGTTCACGAAAATTCATAGACACGGTGTTTGGAATATGTAAGTAAGGTAGAATCAAGAAAAAAAAAAATCACATATTGGGACAGATTTTTGGGGTCCCGCAAAAGGGGCTATCTCCAACGCAGTTTGGCCCACCGACGGCAAGTCATAAATCGACCATTTTTCGACCGTATTAGGCCAGTTCATGGAAGATGTCGACGAAACTTCATGCGAAGCTTCATTGCACTGTAACGATGTCGTTGGTTAGAGAAAGAATCACAAACAGCCATGTTACCGGCATGTTGGGGTCTGCAAGAGAATCTACCTACTTTTTAGACGGAAACACCGACCGTGCTGTCCCGAAGAGAGATTTTTTATCATCGCAGCGCGGCCTTGTGCCAGCTTAACTGGGTGATAAAACATTGTTGATTCATGCACCGAGAACGCAAACATGCCAACATGCATGGACCGGTTTGCTGAGGGTCACACCGCACCGAACGAATAACATGTCGAGACGGGATAACCCGATCGACAGGCATGAAAAACGCACCCAGTCCATCACTTCATAAAAAAATACAACCGTACTCTGTGCAACCAATGCATTGGGCTACAGGAACTGTTCCAAAATAATCAAAGACATATCAACCGGTTATCCGGGGTCCTAACACACATAACCTTCTTGCTCCTACCGCCCCCCCCCTGTATCCCCTCCCTGTGTGCAACCAAAACGTGCTGCGCGCCATCCGTTTCCTAGGTCAGCAGTCAGCTGTTGTTGAGAAACTTAACTTCCATGTCCACGATATTTCGGTGTGCCTTGCACGAGGCCACCATCTTCTCGATGAGACGGAACCCCTCCGCCCCACCGTGCTCACGCTTCAGCTCTTCCCAGTCTGTCTGCACTGAACCTAGTAAAGCGTACGTGCGTCGGCAGTCCCTGGTACGCCGCGCAAACCTACGGATCCGCGTTAGGGTGAGAATCGTTTCCGTGCTCAGCGCCTTCAGCATGTTCTCTTCCAACTTCTTAGGATTCTCGTCGTTAAGTTTACGCCGAAACTCTAACTTGGCCTTACCCCAAGCGTACTCGATGCCTACTCCTGCCAGCTCTGGGTGGCATTTTGGTGACATAATCAGGGTATGACCGCGACTCTCTACGAGGTGCTGAAGCGCAGACTTTTCCTGCTTGAAATCAGGGCACTCTCCCAATACCGTAAAAACGTTCTTGCCAGAGCTAGGATCCGCCTTGCCCGTCATACCGTCCTCCCACAGCCCCCTCTCCCACAACATCTGCCGAACCCCCTTCGGCTTGCCTTCGTACCCGATGATGGGTTCATCTATTGCCTTGTACGTCCTGCTCTTACCCTTGCCACCCGTACAAACTTTTACTTTCCGGCCTTTTTTTTTACTCTTGGGGGGTACGCTGGGGTCGTAGAACGGAGGAGGGTCCCCAACCTGGAAGGTGGCATGTTGAACGTCACCAGGCTTAAGCTTGCAGTCGATCGTCTTCCCTTTCCACTCCATCGTTGCCGGCTTCGTCCCCAAGCAGTCAGCGGTCACCCGTGTGTCGCGCATCCCACCCCCTTTTACCCCGCCCCCCCCC